GGAAGGAGACTGGATGAGGAGGGAGAGAAGAAAGAATGCAGACCATCCCCACGTTTTCCCACGTCTCCTCGTGGGCTCAGGGAGGCTCAGAGCTGCCACCTGGCGGCTGCTTCTTCCCAGCTTGGGAGCGGTTTGCTGCTGAGCCTGGGGCAGCTCTCCGTGGGTGTGCCTTGGCTCTGCTTTTGAGAAATGGAGTAGAAGGCCACATTTATGCTTCCAGCCTTCCAGCCCGTGCAAGCACCCATTCTGTGCTCACTCTCTTTAGAAAATAAAGAAGAAAGGCACATTAAGTTGGCCTTATTTATGAGCCACCCTTACTTGAGCTTTTGTTGTCTGTCTCTGGTTCTGAGAGGTTCTGTAAAAATGTGGGTTTCCAATCAATTGGCTTATCCTAAAAGTAAAAAGAAATGTTTCCTTTGACTTAAGAAATGTTTTGAGATTTCTCAAATAATAATTTCTTCTCTATATTATTTTTTACTACAGCCCTGAATAGGATGTTCAATTCTACCACATTAGATCGGTCCAAAAAGATGAAGTGTGTAAATTGTTTTTTTGAATGAGAAGTAAATCAACCTTGGATAGAACACGAAAGTTAAAATACTGGGTGCTTCGATTGACAAAGGGCAATGAAATAAAATTTCCTAACTGCTAACATAACAAAATCTCCCACCCCATCCTCACCCAGTCCCATTTTAATAGCATATGAACTAATTGGCCAGGCTAAACACACAACTAAAATCAGTTTCTCTAACCTACACCAGACAGAACCTTGCAAATCAATGAAAATCCAGGAGATTTCTTCATTTCCCTTCAGGTGCCCTCCTTCTTATATGGTATAGGCATATATCAAGCAGGACAGAGTTTTATTTCCATCCATACTTCATGGCATTTAATGGATGTTAAGTCTTTTTGTTGTGCAGGTGGTGTGAGTGCAGGAGAAAGAAATGCATTAACAGATATTACACTTACACCTCAAAGAGAATTCCAGTGTTTAACAGGATCAAATAAATGAAAGTATTGACCTTAGTTCAAGATTTTAAACGTATTACAGCATTGTGAATAAAGACAACTAGTTTACTATTCTAAAAAAGGATTTTTTTGTTTGTTTGTTTGCAAAATGATCTTGACTGTTAATATGGCATAAATAGTAGCACTAAGAAATACTTCATGTACTGCAAAGCCAGCAGAGGGAACACTAAGTACTGATTTACTAGCGACCACCCAAAAAATCTGATATTTGAAGGGGAAAAAAATGTCAATATTGTAAAAAAAAAAAAAAAAAGCAAGCATATGAAGTTAGGTAATAAAAACAAAATATTTTTCAATCTTATTATTCAGAGGCCAGATACATTTCAGGATGCACATAATGCTCGCTAAGAAAGATGGCTCTTTAATAGAAAGCCATTTGTCACATGTTTTCCTACATTTTAAGGGAACTAATAGCACTTAAGGGAGATCTAGTGGCCTAGTGCACTGTAATCCCAAAGACATGTGGTTGGAATCCAGCAGATGCTCCACACCAGAAAAATGGGCACACTTCTCCCATGTGATTTACTGTCTCTGAAAATTGGTTAGAGGGTTGGCAATGGGTAGTTTCCAACTTGATGGCACAAAAACAGGGAGCTCTAGTGGCTAGGAATTGCACTGCTGACACAAAGGTACATGATTCTAATCTACCTACAGCTCCGTAAGAGAAAGATCGGCAATCTCTTGCCATACCTCTTAAAACCCACTTCTTGTGTGTCATCGAGTTAGAACTGACTCACAGATGACCCTCCAACGGGTTTACAGTGAGACTGCTCAGGACAGGACAGGGCTCAGAGTTGTACATAGGGCACTAAGAGTTGCAGGCAATTTGACAGCACATAACGTATTAAATACTTAAAACCTCTGGCATACAGGATTAGATTCATATTTTTATTTATGTATCTATATCTGTATGTCTATATATCTAAACCATAAACTCTCTGCTATCAAATCAATTCCAATTTATTTGGCCCCATGACAAAAAAACATAACTGCCCCACAGAATTTCCAAGGCTGTGATCTTTACAGAAACACACTGAATTATCTCAAAGTAGTTATACTCTCAAGTCATTATTTGGTACAAATCTCTAAAATAAGTATGACATTTATTCTCATTTTACTCTGATGAAAATGCTTATTTTATAAATAATAGACTTCTCAGAATCGTTTTAATGTCCACTTGATAAAATATTTTAGCAGTATAGTTCTGTATACACCAATAAACATAAAATACATTCAGCTTTATTTCACAAAATGGTGAATTTTTTTATTTTCTTTTTAAAGTTTTTCTTTGCAAAATAAAAAAAATATATTAACTTGGATAGCTCACAGTTAAAATGTACTTGCCTACAGTCACTAAAGCCAAACTTGCTTGTGGTGAGTCTTAGAGATGCAGTTAGCTGTCTCCAAAGGGTGTTGTTTCTGATAAAGTTCTAAATCTGACAACCTGGGCCTCTTGTCACCCTACAAACTTTCAAAGTTTGACAAGATAAATAGAAAGTGTCTACCTAGCACTAATTCTGTCTGAACTGAATGTCTACCTTAGTAATGCCAGGTTAGCCCTGTCTGACTACCCATCACTGTCCTAAAGATAGTAAAAACAGTTTTATTATTATAGTGTGAGAAGCAGTCATTACTTAATGCAATTCTCATTTCTGAACTTCTCATTAATTCAATTCAGACTTTGGGGTAGAGAGAAATCTTGGGGCCAAAATAACGTGTTCTAAATAACTGACCACTTTTTACATCCACATTCTTCACAGAGTTCCTTTTAAAACAACCATTAGGAGGGCTGAGGTTGTCACTATTGTGCCCTTATGATTCCACACATATGATTTCTGATTCTTTTTCACATTAGTAACTCCAATCTTGTTTTAGTCCGTTAAAAAACACTTATTTCTACAAGAAGTGTCTCTAGTGTCTGAACTACCAAGGGAAATATATAAGCATTAACCGTGGGCTTCCCATACATAAGATGTATAGTTAGAAATTCATTGAATTCTCTTAAAGATACTAAAAAAGTAGTCCGTAGTGTGCCCATTTTACAAATGAGGAAAACTGAGACTTTGGGTCACATCCCCAAAGTTACAAAACCAGTAAGAAAATTAGTAGCTAGATCTTTGCTTAATCCAGAGCCTTACCACTCCTCTGCCTCTTTCTACAGTTTCTTTGCCCTTTTCCATTTAAATCAGGTGATGCATATACAAAGAGGAAAGGAGGCGGGTAGAGCAGTGGAGAGCGTGACAACCTACAGTCTCTAAAATGTGCAAATCAAACATTTCCAAAATTAAACCTAAAATCATCCTTCACTCTCCATTCTCATCCTATACAAGCTTATGGAAATTCTGTAATTGAGGTAATTATGGAGCAGGGACCAATGTGTTCCAAAAGAAAGCTCCTCTGTTTGGGCTATCCAGGATTTATGGAAGAGTTTAAATCTTAAATAACCATAGTTAACCTTGTTTGGTTAAGAGAGCAAGCAATTATTGAAAAAAAAATTTCCTCTCACAAATAGCATAAAGATTGTTCTGAACAGATTTACACAATGCATCAACATCTGTGCTGTACCTAGAGTTGTTAAAATAATTGTGATGACAGGTGTCTAGGTACCACTTTCTTAATGGTTTTCAATATCCATTGATTTATTGTTGTGGCTTGCCCTCCCTCCTTTCACATCCTTAGCTTTATGAAGGCGCTGAGGAACAGATTTTGCACTAGAGGCTGATTCTTTATTCCAATGCTGAAAAGAACTAATAAAAATAATCACTTGGCTTTTAAGCAGAAAGCTTCCATTTACAGTATTTCACCCTCCCCCCTCAAAGCCCCTTGTTATCTAACATAATGGGTAGAATACATTTCCGTCTCTCCCCTTAATAATTTCATGCATTAACATCCTCTTCACACACAAGACACACGCGCGGGCGCGCACACACACAGCAAAAGGAAAAAAGAGGCAGCAGAAATCTCAGCTCTACTTCTACCCTTTTAAAAAGTTTGCTCTGTAAATTGGAATGAGGTCAGATTTGGAGCTTCTCATTGCACGCGGAGATTATTATTGCATCGGGTTCCAAGCCAATGGGAGGCCGGGGGGAGGGGCTTGGCACGAGGAAGCGTTGGTTACAGCAGCTGATTGGCTGAGGCCAAGACTGTGAAAGGATAAAGAAGCGCGAGGCGGAATTGGGGTCTGCTCTAAGCTGCAGCAAGAGAAACTGTGTGTGGGGAAAGAGGCCTGTCTCGCTCCTGAGTCTCTAGTTTTTGCACGCTCTTTAAGAGTCTGCACAGGAGGAACTCTTGCCATTACCGGCTCCCTTCTGCAAGAAGGGAAGAGGAAAACATACATTTATTCATGCCAGTCTGTTGCATGAAGGCTTTTTGGCTCCATACCTTGCAACAAAATAATTGCACAAACTCCTTAGGACCGATTCCTCCCACAGAGAGTCCTGGAGCCAGAGTCTTTTTTGCTTTGCATTGTAGGAAAGGGACTAAGTGATAGAGACTATGTCGCTTTCCTGAGCTCCCGAGAGCGCTCGTGAACTGGAATCAACTGCTCCAGGGAAGGAAGGAGGAAAAAAAAAAAAGCAAACCAAACCCCACACCAACTCACCTGGGAGGCGGCGAGAAAACTTGCACTGGAAGCTTCAGCAACCAGCATTCGGAAAAAACTCCTTTCCACTTGAGCACGGTCTCCAGACTCAAGAGCCGAGGGACAGACCAAACTGCAGCGCGGCGAGAGAGAGAATCGGAGGGAGAAACGCTCCAGGCTGGGAACTATAACTCCTCAGCAAAAGGTTGATCACTCCTTTCCTGCATCGCTGGGGGACTTTTCCCGGCCGGGAGTTAGGCGGCCCGCCCGCCCACCGCGCGCGTCCTCCCGCTCGGCTGGTGCTTGGCCCCGGGAGCCGGGAAGGCCCGGCGATCGCGCCGCGGCCGCCGCGAGGGTGTGAGCGCGCGTGGGAGCACGCGGAGCCGGGGCCATGGTGCAGCAAACCAACAACGCCGAGAACACGGAAGCGCTGCTGGCCGGCGAGAGCTCGGACTCGGGCGCCGGCCTCGAGCTGGGCATCGCCTCCTCCCCCACTCCCGGCTCCACCGCGTCCACGGGCGGCAAGGCAGATGACCCGAGCTGGTGCAAGACGCCCAGCGGGCACATCAAGCGGCCCATGAACGCCTTCATGGTCTGGTCGCAGATCGAGCGGCGCAAGATCATGGAGCAGTCGCCGGACATGCACAACGCCGAGATCTCCAAGCGACTGGGCAAACGCTGGAAGCTGCTCAAAGATAGCGACAAGATCCCTTTCATTCGGGAGGCGGAGCGGCTGCGCCTCAAGCACATGGCTGACTATCCCGACTACAAGTACCGGCCCAGGAAGAAGGTGAAATCTGGCAACGCCAACTCCGGCTCCTCGGCCGCCACTGCCTCCAAGCCTGGAGAGAAGGGAGACAAGGTCTGTGGCAGCGGCGGGGGCAGCCACGGGGGCGGCGGTGGCGGGAGCAGCAACGCGGGGGGAGGAGGCGGCGGCGCGAGCAGCGGCGGCGCCAACTCCAAACCGGCGCTGAAAAAGAGCTGCGGCTCCAAAGTGGCGGGCGGCGCAGGCGGCGGGGTCAGCAAACCGCACGCCAAGCTGATCCTAACGGGCGGCGGCAAAGCGACCGCCACCTCCAGCGCCTTCGTGGCCTCTGAGCAGGCGGGGGCCGCCGCCCTGCTGCCGTTGAGCGCCGCCGCTGCCGCCGCCGACCACCACTCTCTGTACAAGGCGCGGACTCCCAGCGCCTCGGCCTCGGCGTCCTCTGCCGCCGCCCTCGCCGCCCCGGCCAAGCACCTGGCCGAGAAGAAGGTGAAGCGCGTCTATCTGTTCGGCGGCCTGGGCGCGTCATCGTCGCCCGTCGGCGGCGTGGGCGCGGGTGCTGACCCCAGCGACCCCCTGGGCCTGTACGAGGAGGGGGGCGCGGGCTGCTCGCCCGACGGGCCGAGCCTCAGCGGCCGCAGCAGCACAGCCTCTTCTCCGGCCGCCGGCCGCTCGCCCGCTGACCACCGCAGCTACGCCAGCCTGCGCGCCGCCTCGCCCGCCCCGTCCAGCGCGCCCTCGCACGCGTCCTCCTCGGCCTCATCGCACTCCTCCTCCTCCTCGGCCGCCTCGTCGTCGGGCTCCTCGTCTTCCGACGACGAGTTCGAAGACGACCTGCTCGACCTGCACCCCAGCTCAAACTTTGAGAGCATGTCCCTGGGCAGTTTCAGCTCGTCGTCGGCGCTGGACCGGGACCTGGATTTTAACTTGGAGCCCGGCTCCGGCTCGCACTTCGAGTTCCCGGACTACTGCACGCCGGAGGTGAGCGAGATGATCTCGGGAGACTGGCTCGAGTCCAGCATCTCCAACCTGGTCTTCACCTACTGAAGGAAGCGCGCGCCAGAGCAGAAGAAAGGGCCAGAAGGGCCGTAACGGAGGGAAACACAAGCGACAAGATGAAGAGTTGAAAGAGAAAAGGGAAAAAGTTAAAAGAAAAAAAAAAAAGGAAAAGGAAAAAATAAGTGAGCGGGGCCCCGGCCGGGCTGCGGCCGCGTCCCCGTGGGCGAGGAACGCGGCGGCGTGGGGTTTTCTTTTTTTGTGGATTTTTTTTTTTTTTTTTTGCTCCGCTCTCCCATCCCCCACCTCCCGGGCCGGGGCCCCTTGGCCCCTGGGGGGACTCTGCAGAGGAGGCGGCGGGTAGGCAGGGGCGACCTTTTGTTGTTGTTACTGATGTTGTTGATGGCAAAAAAAGCGACTTCGAATTTCCTTCCCTTTGCTAAAAGAAACCCCCACCTCCTCCTGCAACGAGCTTGCGGACTAGTCTGCATCCCCAGCGAGAAGCCGTCTTGTTGGTCTTCTAGCGAACTGAAGGAATCTCGCCCCTCTCGTATCGCCATCTCGATGGGGGGTGTTTTGTGGAGTTGTTTTTTTTGGGGGGGTTCTTGTTGCTTTTGTTTTTCTTGGTCAACAGAGGAAAGAAAATTTTGGAAATCCACCCCGCCCCTGGAGGTTTTGTCCTCGGCCCTTCCCTCCCCTTTTTTTCCTCCCCTGAAGGAAAGCGAAGACTGTGAGTGATGCCTTCTTTGGCCGGCGGCAGATGTTTTGGGGTCACGCGGGGACCGAGGGACTCGGCACTGGAGAATGCTCGGTGGTGGTTGACTTTCCCCCCCCCCTCCACTTTTTTTTTCATTTGCCCTGTTGGTTTTTTGGGAATTTTTTTTTTTCTTTGGGTTTTTGTTTTGTTTTTAAATCCCTCTCCTGCCTTTCCTGGCCTCTGCAGAGGAGGAGATGATGAGGGGAGGAGGCGAGGAGGACCCACGCGAGGACAGGAGCTGAGAGCCCCGTGGGAAGCCCACCAGTGAGGGCGGGGAAGAAGGACGCGAGCTGGAAAGGGGGGGGACACGCGAACTGAAATGGATTTGCACGTTCGGGGGACAGTGGCGGCGGCTGCTCGGCCTCCCCCGGTGTGTCTCTGAAATCAGTGAGGGGAGACTGGACAGAGCTGGAGGCGTGGGGGAACTGGGGACTGTTTGATGTGGTACCTGGGCAGCGGAGGGCGAGTGGTTTCGGGGGGAAAAAGAAAAGGTTTTTTTTTCTTCTCTTAATCGGAATCGTGATGGTGTTGGATTATTTCACTGGTGGGGTTAATATAGCATGTTATCCTGTCTATCTTTTCAAGATTTCTGTCTTAAGACTGTTGAGCAGTTTTTAAAATAGTGTAGGATAATCTAAAAAAGCAGATAGATGGCGCTATGTTTGATTCCTACAAACGAAATTATCACCAGCTTTTTTTCATTCTTAACTCTTTAAAGGATTCAAACGCAACTCAAATCTGTGCTGGACTTTTTGAAGAAAAAAACAATTCAGGACCAAATTTTTTCTCAGTATGTATGTGTTTATTCCTTCTAGGTGTAAATGAGAAGACGTGTTTTTTTCCCCTCACCGATGCTCCATCCTCGTGGTTTTTTTTCTTTGTAAATGTAATCAGATGCCATTTTATATGTGGACATATTTATACTGGCCAAACCTTTGTTTCCCCCCTTATTTTGTCCCTTTTTTTCTTTCCTAGGTTTATTTTTTGGTTTTTGTTTGTTTTTATTTTTTTTAACTTCCTTAATTCTTCCTTACTTCCTTTTATTTTTGTTTTTGGTAGTTATTGTTACCATGCCATTTTACGTCTCCTTCACTGAAGGGCTAGAGTTTTAACTTTTAATTTTTTATATTTAAATGTAGACTTTTGACACTTTTAAAAAACAAAAAAAAGACAAGAGAGATGAAAACGTTTGATTATTTTCTCAGTGTATTTTTGTAAAAAATATATAAAGGGGGTGTTAATCGGTGTAAATCGCTGTTTGGATTTCCTGATTTTATAATAGGGCGGCTGGTTAATATCTCAGTTTTTGAAAATCAGCCCCTGATTTCTCCATGTTTACACTTCAATCTGCAGGCTTCTTAAAGTGACAGTATCCCTTAACCTGCCACCAGAATCCACCCTTAAACCCATGACTTACACAAAGGGGAGAAGTAGCCAAACATGTATGCTTTATAGAGAAGGCATTTTTTTTAAGCAAAATGCTATTCTGTACGGAGGCTTTAAAACTGGTGCATTTACAGCAAAAAGGGATCCTGTAGCTTTAATTTGTAAACCACATCTTTTTTGCACTTTTTTTATAAGCAAAAACGTGCCGTTTAAACCACTGGATCTATCTAAATGCCGATTTGAGTTTGCGACACTATGTACTGCGTTTTTCATTCTTGTATTTGACTATTTAATCCTTTCTACTTGTCGCTAAGTATAATTGTTTTAGTCTTATGGCATGATGATAGCATATGTGTTCAGGTTTATAGCTGTTGTGTTTAAAGATTGAAAAAAGTGGAAAACATCTTTGTACATTTAAGTCTGTATTATAATAAGCAAAAAGATTGTGTGTATGTATGTTTAATATAACATGACAGGCACTAGGACGTCTGCCTTTTTAAGGCAGTTCCGTTAAGGGTTTTTGTTTTTAAACATTTTTTATTTTTTTTATTTTTTGCCATCCATCCTGTGCAATATGCCGTGTAGAATATTTGTCCTAAAATTCAAGCCCACAAAAAAATGATGTTTAGGGGATTTAAAAGATAAAGAAAAAAAAATCATGCCAGCTAATCATGTCAAGTTCACTGCCTGTCAGATTGTTGATATATACCTTCTGTAAATAACTTTTTTTGAGAAGGAAATAAAATCAGCTGGAACTGAACCCTAAATCTTGACTTTTGTCATCATTATGCCCAGTGCCTAAGCCTGGGAGGGCTCTGCCGGATAAAGAAGACTATACTATCAGCTTTGGTGTTGAAACATGTACTCTCAGAGAGGAGCCTGTTCTGTGCCATCTTCTTGAGCAGGCCTGACACTGGGCTGGTGGCATCGATTGAGTATGTGTCAATTCTCATGCTTTCTAGGAAATTTCTGCTTTTATCACATTTAAATAAATGTCCTTTGTCCTTTTAAAAGAGAGAGCAACAGGATCCACATGCCCAGAATTCTTCACAGATTAAACAGATCAAAAAAATCTTTATTTTAGGCTCCTTATCCTGCTTTTTCCTTGCCTTGCCCAGTGTTAACTGGCTAGAAATGTTTTCCACAGATTGTGAATAAATGAGCCTGTTAAATTGTCAGTGTACTGTAGCTTTTTGGCAATTAGAAGATGTGGAAGTTGTATGATTCCATCATCCTCAAAGCGAAAAGCTGAAGTCTCCCCTTTGGCCAAGCCAAGATATGAGTCTTCATGTTAGAGAAACACAACAGGAATAACCTGGAGAAGTTGGCTCCCTCTGGCCTCACAGACAACCTCCCCTCACAATCTATGGAGAGCCTTTATTTCAGCCAGCAGATTTGGACTTTGGTAAGCATCTGGCACAGTAGGGTGACAGATCTGTAGGCAAAGGGAAAAACACTTTGCATTTCCTAAAGGCCAGTTATACTGGGTTTGAAACAAGCAACTTGTTAAATTAGAAGTGTTGCCTGTTTGGAAGGTTAACAATTGCTATTAAGCCTGTTTTCCTTTCCAAATGTCTATTCATTAAAAATGTGTTATTTTATACATCTAGCTTGTTAGCACCAGACAGGAAGGGTTAATAAGCAGAAATGGCTTGAAAATAATCCCTTAATCAGAGGACTGCTTATAGGTAAGGGAGTATTCTTTATCCTGGAATGTTCAGCTAAAAGAGTTTTGGAGCTTGTAGTAAAAGCAATTTATTTTTGTGAACAGCACAGTCCTCCCCTCCCCCACTACAGTAATAGAACTGTTATGTTTCAGTATAATTTCCTCTCTTAAAGATTATTATAGCTGCTAAAATACCCACACTCACTGTTATCCAGTGGGTTCTGACTCACTACAGCTGCTAGTTGACACTTTTTATGCATTGTTAATACATTTACTTATGATTGCATTTGTGTTCTGCAAATTATATCCCATTTTAAAATATATATTTTAAGATAACATGAAGTCTTAAGTCTCTTTAAAATGAGGATTCTTTTACAAAGTTTAATTTTGTTCACTGTAATGTTGATAATGCACATTTTTTTTAACACCCAGTGTACCAAAATCTTGACATAAAGCCTATGGAATGCCTATTATTTTTTAGCATTACATTATCTTTCATGGTGTATTTTTATTTTGTGGAGTTCTTCTGCCAGAATGGTATTTCTTTTTCCTTGAGTTTTCATGTAAGGAAAGATGCTTTAAATACTTTTAACAATTTTTATAGCATTGCTTTAGAAATGAAAGCTTAATTGTGTCCTTCCTAGCAGGTAGGGTGGAGTTAAGTGAAAGAAATGATTTTGTGTGCTTTCTCTCTTCTGACTTTATCTTCATAAGGGAGAACGTGAGGTGGTGCAAGGTATAAAAAGCTTGAGAAACCAAACATTGAGCCAGAATTTTGGTACTGCTCCTGGCCCTATGCTCCAAATGAAATGTAAATTAGTAAAATACTTGCTTAAGCAAGTTTTGTCAGTTGCTGGCTGAATCCCTTTAAGTGCCAAGAAAAAAACAACCCTGAGCCTGAAAGCTGATATGGTGGGCTGAGTGCTTGAAAGAACTTCCTGGGTTTGCTCTCTGGGGTGCTCAAGGCGCCAAGGGATTCTGAGAAAAGCAAGAAAGCAAAGGTTTGAGAAGTGGACATCAACATTTGCTAAGTATTTCCTGTGTTTATGAGGCTCCACATGAATTAGAAGACCGGGTATGGAGAATGAAATGGATCAGAATGATTAATCTTAAAACATCATTTTAGAGATCCCTTAAAAAGATCATGTATCCAAAACAGCATAACAATTCTGCTGTAAATACAGATTCATCTGAACCATTCGGATTTCTCAGGTGAAGATTTGCAAAGCTGCTCCCCGCCCC